GAACAGTGCCTGGCTGTGGTGAACAGCTTAGACGTCGGGTGGCACGACTCTCGCTGCAACACACTCCGACCTATAATCTGTGAGACAGAGGCGTTCTACAGGCTGTAATTCTGTAACTACAATATTAATAGCATTCGTAATACAAAGTCTGTATAAATTGAATACAGACTTTTTTAATAAAGTCTTGCCTCTCATTTGCCTGTTTCTTGTCATGACTACTAGTGTACGTAATGTTTCCCTGAAAATGAATCCCTCCGCAGCAACCTGGACATGGTGATTAAACACTACTGCTTACGAAGGTGTAAGTGCTTCAATTATAACGCGGGAACATGAGGTTTAACGGAATTTATTTTGGCCTTAAATCACGTAAGAATTTAATTCCTATTGACCAACGAATAAACTAAAGTTAACATAATATGCTTCCCTGAAGCTTTTCATCTTTGACAATCTTTCCCTCTCCTCCCTCCAAGTCGCAGGGAAGCATTTGCTCAGAGCAGTTGCCCTGTATCGGATAAATAATTACATAACCGCTCATAAGGACCTCTTTCAATATGACTGAAATTAACTGCTGTTTGGTGAGCGTATCTTGGCAATGGGCACCATAACATGCGGTATAGAAAGTTAATACCACCAGGATACTGTTCAATATATACCGAGCTTTATTAACCATAAGGCTGACCAAGAGCAGGTTCCCGTAAAGCAAGAGTAAAAGCAAAGATTCCACAAAAGCATCGGCCGAAGCACACAAGAACCAAGCCATGTGCTGTACAGCATCACAACAAGCCTTCCCCCATCTCCCAGGACGGAATAACAGACCACAACGGGGGGGGGAAGGCAACAGTGAATAAAGCCCCGTCCACACGATCGAGCAGTGCCCGGCGGGCTTTGCCTGTGTGGTGGTGTACACATGGGGGTGGTTGGCGGCAGTCCTAGTCGTGCGCTGGTAGCTAATAGGTGGTCGGCGGGTGCGGTACGATCACCATGGTGTGCTGCAGGAAAAATCGCCGGACAGTTAAAGCAAAGAGCATTGAGTTGTGTACTATAATAATTGCTTTGTGCAAAAAGTCAAATGCAGTATAGGGAATGGTGCAAAGAGCGGTTAGGTCTTAGAAAAGTATCCAGTCTGCCACGATTTTACGTGAACTGCAAGATGGACATGAGCAAGACTTCACCAATTACATGAGAATAGACCACCTTTTACAAACTTCTAGCGAAAGTGGAACCATATATAAAAACACAGGATACCACTATGAGGGAGTATATCTGCAATGGCTCGTCTAGAGGCAATGCTCCTATGTCTTCCGACTGGGTGTACTTCACTTCAGTATAGAAGAGGATCTCAAAGTTTGTCTCGCATAATACCTGGAACTTGGCAAGCCATGTATGAAGTACTCCAGGAAGATTACTTGCAGGTGAGATTTATAGTACATAAAATTTCATTGAAAGTTAGAATTATGATATACTTATACAGGAAGCTATGGGACTAGAGTGAGGAGAGCGGCAGGAACGAAGAACACACGAATGTCCTCATTACATAATACAAACAATCTCCCGTTTATTGTCACGCCAATAATGTACATTGCATAAGCTTATTTGGTTATACCAGTGGTCTCAACCTTGTTTGCCCCATGCACCCCTTTCACCATATGTCAATGTCATTCCCCCCTCCTTTCCAAGATTGTCTGCCTCAAAGTGCATTCCAAATAATATGCATATTATACTGAAAATCCTTTTTTTTTTTCCATATCAGTTCCCCCTCATGAAAACCTGAGGGGGGGAATTCCCCCCCTGGTTGAGAACCTCTGGGTTATACACCGGACATCTGGACCGAGTGGGGAACATATACGTATCACATTTGCAGTACGTGACTCCGGTTTTACAAAGTGCTAGCATACGTTTTGTCAGTATCTCTGTTCATACCTCACCGACTTGAGGACCCCGAGGTCAGCGGTGGCGTAGTGATCAGCTGTTTTTGAGTCGCGTGAGGTTCCAATAATAACACGTCTTGTGTAATGTTGAATATTAATGACAATATTATAGGAATGTCGGTTTTCCGGTTTTATCGATTATTAATGATGAAAATATTAAAACATTAGTATTTGTGAAGGGGGGTAACCCTGCCACACATGTGATACATGATGGACCTGTTTGGGACACTAGGTTGTTTGCAAATAAGATATTGAGGATTGACAGCTTGTATAAAGATCAACTTTATTTTACATAATAATTACATACACCCCAACGTATGTAGTCTGCAATTACAGATTTTAAGACCCTCTCCATAAAATACATGTCAGGATCCCAGGGTCAACTTCGTTTGTCTGGCAGTCGTCGCTCCATATCCGGCAGCAAACCGCCAGGCAGGCTGACCATGATTTCGCTCAATGACGGGCACGGGCACTCCGCTGGGTTGCCCGCCAATTTTGCCCGATAACTGGCATTTAGCGCGTGCCCACCGGGCACTGCTCGATCGTGTGGACGGGCCTTAAAAGAATTCTCCACGAGAAGGACCATGTTGATATAGGACAAAGTTAAATACCCACGATCATAAAGTGAAAAATCAAGACCTTCCTGTGGTCCAGCCAGAGCTCCAAAACGACAGCAGTTAGATCAAACTTTACACCTACATTACGTGCGTCCCTAAGTTGTACACCGTGATTACTATTAATCTCTGACACCCGGGCAAGAACAAGTACAATTCTTCCCCAACGAGATGGCCACGGCGATTGCGGGAGGTGGTTACCCTTGTCCGGGAGCATAAACAGACAGGTGAGTAATTTTGCAAGCACTCTAATTTACACAGACCAATGTGCAACTAAGATGTCAAGACCTGACCCTGAGGGTGCTATCACTTCACACTGCCAGGCAGCTGCCATGAACTGTATGTAGGGTGGAAGTTTGGGCCGTGGACCAAAATTTTCCTAACTAAATTATAATCCCCTTAATACCCGCGAGTACCTCCTAGTCAGGAGCTTTCAGGTTACGTTACGTTACATTAATATATTGTTGTTTTGAATCATGACCTCTTAATGTTCGGGAGTCGTGGTCCCTGGCCCCAACATCCGGGGATCGTAACCCATGACCCAAAAATCCGGGGGTCATGGACAATGGCCCAAACGTTCTACATTCCGGCAGAAAATACAGTCGAGAAGAAGTATAAGCTGAGACAATTAAAACACTCAGAATGAGTGAAAAAGAACATTTATTCTAACTAACGCTTAATAATGTAAACGAGTGGCTAATACTAATAACTGCCACACTCTGGTTGCTTGAAATACTGGGTATCACTTGTATTTGTATTCTCATCAAACTGCCTCATGGAAATGAGAGGACACAACATTATTCTACTCTGTGAATTGTCTGCAATGATTCGAGCAGAAGTTGGGTGGTGGAGCCAGGGAGGGCGGGGGATTCGGAAGTCGAGTGCACTACATACAAACTGTATTATTTAACACCTTTAAACAACAGTACTGTCGCTGTGCATCATAAATTGTACATTTCACAATAATAATAATAATAATAATAACAACATTGTCTTTTTTTTTGCCATTAAACCTCACTGTTTGGCACAACTGAACCAAGTGGTTTGCTAATTCTACACAGGACTGCAGCCAACTGAACTATATTTCTTCACATCAAATTTGTATTATAATAATTATGTGGTGCCCACTTCCTATTGTTTTTATTGCAAATTAATCCCTTCGTTACGATGTCCTCTTATGTATTTTATTCTAGCTACCACCAGACGATTTTATTTGAATGGGGATATTAATTTCGTATCCAAGGGTTAAACAAAACTTGGTTACTTCAACAAGATATAGATTCAAGCATATCAATAATCCATTTGCTTATAAATAGAACAGGAATTCATCCTCCTCTCATCCTAATGTAACTTTGGTGTTGTCATCTGGCAGCAATAGACGATTACACTATTGTCAAAGTGTTATTCTGTATTGTCATCTTCCCAACTAACATTTCACTCTTCACCCCCAGCACCCCGTCACCCCCTCCCCCACAGAAAGACACCAATTCCGACATTCCCCTCCCCAACCGTTTCGGGTTCAGACCTCAGAGAGAGGATTGGCAAGGCTAATGTGGCAAACGCAGGGATGGAGCCAACTGTACATGACTATTTGTTTTGACGTAGCAATTCATATTTGTACGAGTACGAAGTGTTTAGTTAAGAGGTGAAAGAAGATTATTAGGGGTTGAGGGAAAAGTGGTGAAACTGAAATACAGCAGGAGTAGAAAGAATCTGGGCTCAACCAGATCGCTTCATCTTTCTTATTGGTGTTTTATCTTTGTTCTGCTCCCTTGGGTCGTCAGACCTTTGTATTAATAATGGTTTATTTATATAATGCTGCTTATTATTATTTGTCTTTAAGGGTACAGGTATTTATAACACTCGTCTCCTCTCTCTCTCTCTCTCTCTCACTCACCCACTCACTCTCTCAATTATATGCCAGTTGTTATTCAGCACACTCCTTTGTATCGTACTATACTAAACGGTCACATCAAATGCGTGAATCTTTATTTCCACGTGTCCTTTCAACACCAGCACCATGTTAATATAATTTTACTTACGTTTCAACACATACATACGCACGCATCCCATGCTAGCTAATAGTATTTCGAGTTGTCACTTTTTTTAATTATTTATATTGATTTAACTATTTATTCAGTGTTCACATACGAGTTATAACGCGTATCTAGATAATAGGAACTAAGTATAACTTTGTGCTACAGACTCATCAATGACCTAAGGGATCTGTTCACTACATAATACAACACAAGAGAAGTATTTGGGTAAGATAATTTAGACTCGTCTCTAAGGTGGGGTTGAGTGTACGGCACCTAGACTACAGAGATTGCTACCTTGGTTGTTATGGTCGCTGCTCCAAATATTAGCCAATGAAAGCTTCTTTCGCTAAACATTCAGCCAATAATCACCATTGTCGACCGTATAAAAGGGGCGGCTCTTGTATTATGTCTTCAGTGTGCTGCTTCACCTGTCATAACGACTTCGTTCATGGTTGGTTTTCAAATTTGTGAATATTGTTTTTGTGTTCATGTTAATTTCAGTTAGTCTATCAATTTGCCTGTGGTTTATTTTGATTACGTATTATTTATAGCAATTAGTGTTGTGACGAAGAATATCTGGTTAGCCATTTTCATATATTACTTTAACCAAAGAACGTCGTTTCCTCAAGTGTAGAGTGTCTTAACACATTCTGCATGTTGAAATCGTTACAAAAATTTTTACACTATACTAAACCGAACTCTTAAATAAATTTATTCTAAAATTACGACTTTGAGTGATCTTGTGCGGCTAAATAAACGTGTTTATAATTGCTCAAATGTTTAACTAGTTTTATAATCCAGTTAGGAAGACAATTTCTGTTTTCTCATCTCTTTATACTAAACGTTACCCGCCACTACTTAAATCTTCTTCAGATGAGAGCAATAATACTCCTGATGGTGACAGCTGTCGTCTGGGCAGATGATTTGTATGTTAGGAACGACGGAACGCCAATTATTTTTGGTGTGGGAAGTGACGGCGACCCTGACATGGTAAAGTCACCGGGCGTGTTGGTGATGTCCCCAAAGTCTTTATCGCAACGATCTTCAGGCCAGACTACTCAAGGCCAACGGTCACGGCAAGTCTTCACTTCGGGCCAGACTTCACCACCCCAAGGGCAAATTTTCTCAAGTCGAACTTCACCAATCCCTTTCTCACCCCAGCATACCACCTTGCCACCGAGTCGGTTTTGTGATCACGCTCGCAGACCTATAGTAAGTCGTGCATTTGGTTATTTCATCGTGCAAATTAACATTGAAATAGTAGTCGGTAATATAAATGCACTAATTGAAGATGGCGAGCCACTCGGGGGTCTTCAACATAATTTTTATCTGTAGAGGATCCTACTTGTATGTTCTGCACAACTCTCCTTTCTGCAGGTGGACGAGGTGTTCCAGGGTAGGGCATACCACTTCTCCTGGTGCCATGATGGCGGCCGCTTCTACACATGGTACGATGCCAGCCATCATTGTCAGAGGCTGGGCAACGGCTTCCAGGCCGTCAGTATAGAGCACCCGAACGAAGACAACTTCGTGGCTGGAGTTCTTAGAACATGTGAGTGTTGCATGACCTCCGTTATCTTGGGGTTATTAAAATGGTAACTAGATCAGTTTCTAGAACTGATATCATTACTTTTATCAACGCGGATCTGTGCAGCTTCTCTGGATGGGGAGCTATAAACTTAGGTTAAGTTCAATAATAATAATAAAACTCGATATTTATCAATTACACTTTGTAAATTAGACGATCTCAAAATTACATTTCAGGACGCTATCATCTTCCCAAATTCTGAAATGACTGTTAAGCCTCGCCATTTCCTCCAATATGTACTGGAAGTCACACATCCTTAGTATAACTAAAACTGGCTCCCGAAAGTTGGGAATGCTGTACAGGTGCCGTAGCTACTTCACTCCTGAGCAGTTGCTCCAAGTATGCAAGGCATTCATTCGTCCTAACTTGAAGTACTGCACTCCTATCTGGGGTGGCTCTTATGTCCAACTATTAGATAGGGTGGAATCAAAGGCATTTCGTCGTATTAACTCTCCTCCTTTAGTCGACACTCTCTTCGCCGCAATGATGCTTCTCTCTCTCTCTCTCTCTCTCTCTCTCTCTCTCTCTTTTACTGGTACTTTAACGGGCAATGTTTGGTGGATTTGGCATCTTGTGTACCGCCGGCAAGGCCGTGGGTTCGTAACACACTTCTTGTCCTCGGTGCCCACCGTTTCTCTGTGGATGTCGGTCACTCGAGAATAACCCGTTTAGTACCTCCTTCTTTCCTCACACAGCCAAACTGTGGAATGCTCTGCCTTCTGTGTTTCCATGCTCTTACAATCTGTCTCACTTTAAGAAAGCTGGTTTTCCGTAATCTTCGTGGTGTAGATTAATACATTATAATTTTTTTTTTCTATATTTACAATTCTTTCCTTTTTTCTCTCCTCGGGCTCCGTTGTAGGTCGTTTGACCTGTGCCCGGGTGGGCTAATTCCCAAAAAAAAAACTTGCTTTCGATTGTATTTCTCTAAAATTATTTCTTTAAATTTAACAAATCTTGATTTTTATCTTTTTAGCATTTATCTCTTAAAATGTTTCTACAGACCAGATCAGGGACATCTGGACAAGTGGTAGTACATTGGGCTCTTACCAGTGGTACTGGCAAACGGGTGTCTCCACGGGTTACACAAACTGGTCTAACACCGGCAGGTTAGTCGGTAGCCTTGACTACACAAAAATATTGATTATATAACCGTATTTGCCAAATGGAACTAAACTTTTTTGTTAGTCTTCTAATTACTGAAAGTGTTTCAGAACTTGCTGAAAGACCTGTGTACCCAGGGCTCGTGTATATTGACCATCTGTAACTCCTTATTTGTTTTTCTTTACTTGGCCAGACTTGGAAGAAGTCAACCAGACAACGCAGACGGTAACGAGCAGTGCCTGGCGGTGGTGAACAGCTTAGGCGTCGGGTGGCACGACTCTCGCTGCAACACTCTCCGACCTGTTATCTGTGAAACAGAGGCGTTCTACAGGCAGTAATTTTATAACTTCAGGATGTTTAGTTTATCTATTTAATAGCCTTCGTAATACAAGTCTATAAATATACTAATTTTTAATAAAGTGGTTTAACCTCTCACTTGCCTTTTTTTAATACTACAGTACGTATTATTTCCCTGAAATTTAAACCCTCCGCAGCAACCTAGGCATGCTGAGTAATCACTACAGCTTATGAAGGGTTTAGTGCATCTATTATAATGCGAGTCTTAGCGGAACTAATAAGACTTTAAATCTACGTAACAATTGAATTCCCGTTTGACCATATACAGTACACCTAATAATGTTTATATGCATGTGCATCACTGAAAACTATGTCTTCAACAATCGTGTCTTGTTTTGCAGTCACTCGGGAAGAATTTGCTCGGTTACCCTGCATCTGAAAAACAATTAAATAACACCTCATAAGGACCACTTTCAATATGACTGGAATTAACTGCTGTTTGGTGAGAGCATCATGGGCAGCACAACACGGGGTATGAAAAGATTATACCGCAAGAATACTATTGATACATCACGAGATTTATTAACCATAAAGGTGGCAGATAGCACGAGCAGGTTCCCATAAAGCAAGAATAAATGCAGAATTCACCAAATCATTGGCCAAATCACACTGAAACAAGCAATGTACTGTACAACATCGCACCAAGCTTTCTCCTTGCCCCGGACGGTACAACCCGACTCGCAAACCCAAGCAATGGAGAACTAAAGGAATTATCCACGAAGAACCGTGAAGTTGTCAAAATTTTTAGTCTCTAGAGTAAATTGAAATACTTGCCTGTGGGCCAGCCAGAGCTCCTAAACGAAAGCTGTTGGGTAAAACTTTACACCTACATTATGGGGGCCAATCAGTTGTACACCATGAATACTATTGACCTCGGACCCACGGTAGTAGGCAACTACCAAACGGAGGTACTACGGCCTGGGAAGATATTGGAAGTATAATCTGTTGTTTATTGGTAGACCCTGCTGCTGTATTATATCACAAATATTGCGACTAAGTCCCAGGTTGATAATCTGATTTTCTGCCTCATTTATACACAATTGCAGGGTCTCAATTGTTTCTCTTGCTATTGACAATACAACATGCATACAGTATATTGTTGCTCACTATTGATTTTTTAATTTTTGCATTTCTTTATGGTTCATTAGTTTATTTTTAATTTTGTATTGTATTATACATTTTATTTACTTAATTATATTTTTAATTTGGATTATAAATTCCATTTAATAATAATTACATTTTCACCCCCCAGGCCCTGATGTGGGTCAGTGACCTGTTCCCGGGTGGGCTGTGATACCCATAAAAAAAGAAAATAGCTCGGGCAAGAACCAAAACAAAATTAACTGATTGAGGCAGCCTCGGCGGTTGTGGGAGGTTACTTTTGTCGGGGAGGCTGAACTGCAGGCGGGTAATTTAGCAAACCTCATAATTTGCGGGGACTTGTGGTAGATGCGGTACCGTTCTTGCCTCGCAAGCGAGATGCCACGGGTTCGATTCCCGGGCCGGTGGAAGTTGCTTGGACTTGCTTCCTAGTCCCTGTTCACGTAGGCCTAAAAGTAAGTACCTGGTGTAAATGGGAAGTTGCGAATTCGTATTCTGGGAAAGTTGTTGGAGCTTCCAGTAACGTCATGACATAAACCATTGACTCTTCAGGCTTCTACGCCCTTGACTCGTGAGACAAACAGGCAAGCATGAACTTAACATGCTTCCCTGTTGGGCACTGTAAACGCTTCTGCGCTTCACCTTACACAAGGATGTAGGGGGGTACCCAATAAAAAAAAAAAAAAAAAAAAAATATATATATATATATATATATATATATATATATATGTATAATTTGCAGAACCGAATGAGGTACGATGATGTCCCGATACCTTGCCGGTAGTCTATGGGGGGTGTCTCTATAGATCGGCTAGTTTAGCCATGATGCCCAAATACTGCACAATAATCTCTACAAGTTGACTGACGAACAAAATTTTTTAGTGTTTTTCTTCATTTGTAAGGAATAGTCACCCCTGAATTTGTAAGATAAATTATATTAGAAAAAACGTAAGAGTAATTCTCGGAAGCTGAAAATTGAGAGGAAAAATAATGCTGCTTAAATATCCTTTTTTTCACGTGTTTCATTATTTTCTTAATTATTTTAGGAAACAACGCACTTGTACCACTTAGTGTTGCCAATCGCCTCTCCCTGAGGTCTGAACCCCCAACTTAGAAGTGTTTTCGGGAGAAGGTTGCGGTAGTTGTCGTTTTGTGGGGAGGAGACCGGGTACTAGTAGAGCTCCTATAAATATCTTGGAATTTGTGTGAACGATGGAAACTTTGTCAGCAACCTTCGTGACAAACTCATGCAGCGCATTAAACCCCTCAAAACCCTTGTTGGCAAGGGCTATGGAATTTACATCACCTATTCTCGTACTTTCTATCTTCACTTCATTCGTTCTGTAGTTGACTATCATGCTCTCCATCATGTGACTATTCCGCCTAAACAACTCAACAGCCTTGAGGTAGTGCAAAATGAAGCCATGCGCATCATTCTAGGTTGCCCAAAATCAACCAGAATTGTAAACATGAGGAAAGAGCTCGGACTGCCCTCCCTATCTGAGTTGTAGCATTAGTAAATATGACAAATTTTGTGACAAGAGGTACCGGTATGGCCAGCATAAGGACAGAACCAGACAATGTGATGTACTCGTGGCCAGAATTAGGCTAGGATACAGACACATCTGGCAAGTTAGTAACGCTGTACCCATACCGGAACACTCAGCATGTAAACTTTGTGATAAACCTTTAAAGCATTCACTTGAACACTATATTATTGAATGTGACACTGTCAAAGACTTCAGGCCACCTGACTTTTTGTATCTTGAACTATGTAATTACTTCACTGAATCAGGTGTGCTTGAGGACATTCTTGCTGTTTATCCCAAATTTGCTAGCCCACACTGATAAGTCTTCAATTAGAATATGACTCCAATGTATGTGATCCACTGACCTATATATGCTGCTGGTGAATGTGATGTATTTCTTTCTTTGTGTACGAACCTCTGTCCTGCGTGGCAGTGAGCAGTGGCATTACCCACATGAATATGACCTATATATAGTGTCAATGAATATGATGCATTCTTTGTGTACGAACCTCTGTCCTGTATGGCAGTGAACAGTGGCATTACCCACATGAATATGACCTATATATAGTGTCAATGAATATGATGCATTCTTTGTGTACGAACCTCTGTCCTGTATGGCAGTGAAGAGTGACATTACCCACATGAATATGACCTATATATAGTGTCAATGAATATGATGCATTCTTTGTGTACGAACCTCTGTCCTGTATGGCAGTGAAGAGTGACATTACCCACATGAATCTGACCGACGTATATGTATGTATGTGTGTATATGTGTATGTATGTGTGTATGTGTGCATATGTGTATAGATATGTACATGTATATGTGTATGTATATGTGTATATGTATGTATATGTGTATGTGTGTGTGTACATATATGTATATGTACTGTCAATGAATATGATGCATCTCTTTGTGTACGAACCTCTGTCCTGCATGGCAGTGAACAGTGACATTACCCATATGAATCTGACCTCTATACATTTATAGCTGTTAATGAATATGATGTATTTCTTTGTGTATGAACCTCTTGCCTGCGTGGCAGTGAGAAGTGATACCACCCTCAGTGTCAAGACCTGACTGAATTAATCAGAATAGGCAAACTGTACTAAAAGCTCTGCCAATAAATTTGTTAAACTAAAAACTCCCCACTCCCCTCTCCAGGTTAACAAATTTATTGACAAAGCGTGGAGTACAGTTTGCCTATTCTGAGTAATTAAGTCAGGTCTTGACACTGAGGGTGCTATCACTTCATGAGCTGTATGTAGGGTGGAAGTTTGGGCCATGGACCAAAGTTTTCCTAACTAATTATAATCCCCTTAATAAGCCCGAGAATCGTCCAGTCAGAAGGCTTCAGGTTATTTTAGGTTGCGTTACGTTGCGTTACATTATTATATTGCTGTTTTGAATCTTGACCTCAAATGTTCGGGGGTCTTGGTCCATGGCCCAAACACCCTGGGATCGTGGCCCATGACCCAAACATCCGGGGGTCATGGCCAATGGTCCAAACGTTCTACATTCCGGCAGAATATAGAGAAAGTCGAGAAGAAGTATAAGCTGCAACAATTAAAACACTCAGAATGAGTGAAAAAGAACATTTATTCTAACTAACCTTTAATAATGTAAACGAGTAGCTAAT